CAATTGTTTCTTCCACATATAGATCATTGTACTAAAAAATTCAAAACTTATGGAAGTGTATAAAGTAGAAAGCTCCCAGGCCTATGAATAGGAAGGAATGAATCAAGAAGATGACAGAGAATGCAAGGAAAGGGCTGGCTGGAGTCCACTAGATGATATAAATAGAGACCCCAGGATGACAGCTGTGCACAGGCACAGATGACAATCAGCACCAACCCCTGTTGATCCAGAGGCTCTACAGGAAATTTCCTCAGGTACAATGTAATGTCTAGAATACTCAGATAATTAGCAAATACAGTGTTGAACGGTTTCCAAACTGGGGCATGCTGACAGTGAGAGTGAACATTGTATATTACACCACACCCACACACACCAACCTAGTGGTATAGACAAAAGAAAGAAAAGGTAATCGGTGCTCACTTGGGCAGCACATACACTAAACTGGAACGATACAAAGATTAGCACGGTCCCTGCACAAGATGACGTGCAAATTCATGAAGCCATCTACATTTTTTTAAACGAATATATATGTGTGTATAGGTATGACTGAAACATTTCGCTGTACACCAGAAATTGACACACTGGCAACTGACTATACTTCAATTAAAAAAAAGAAAGAAAGAAAAGGAAATCATAATTTACTACCTGGTAAACCTGTGAATATTCCTTATAGTAATTTAAACACTGAACACTGAATACTAATCCAGACAAAATTCCAGTATGGCTGTGTGGAAAGATGAGTTCATGGAAAGGGCACACAGGTACGGTGGGAACTGGGGGAAGAAGAACTAAATCCTCGTCTTTCACAATAAGAAACTGACAGATAGATGATGCATACAACGGAAAAATCAAGAAGTAGGCAAAAAAGCACATTACATGCTATTTAGAGCTAAAAATGTAAACACAAAATTTAGAGGTTAAAATGGGTGAATATAGTTTCTTCTTGGGGGAAGACAAAGGGCAAAGAAGAAACAGCGGATTGCTGGTTTTCACAACTATTCAACTCTTTATGCTTTACACATTTATATCTTTGATATAAAAAGTTAAAAAGAGAGAGAGAAGAGGAGAGGAGAGATGGAAGAGAGGAAGGAAAGAAGAGAGTAATGTATTTACTTTTCATCTGGTAAAACTAAACATATTAATAGAAATGTCAAGTCCAAATTACATTTGGCGGGATTTTCCAAGGCATATTTATTTTGTTTCGGTGGGTTGCAGGTAAAGGAGTGGGCAAAGTCTATACAAGAAATAATACTCCTTCATGTTTACAGGAATAGAGAAATTAGAGCAAACTAAGCCAGTGCTGGAGTGTAATTTTTGAGATATTTAAACACTCTGAACCTCAGTCTCTTCATCTGTGAAATAAAGGTAAGGTCTTCTTTACGTATGCCCTGCCACAGTTAAGTACATGACCTAAGGAGGACACAACAAATACTGGAGCTACCTTTCCTCTAATGTCTAAGGGCACGAGGGAGGAGAGTGCAGGGGTCCTGCCTGCTTTTCCTTTTATGTGAAACCAGGTTCCATGCTCCCTATCCTTATTTGGGATACAAGAAGCAAGTGAAGAAATTAGCCTATTGAAGACCACCTTTCCATTCACATTAGAGGATTTGAAAAATCAGTCCAATCCCTGTGTTCTGCTTTTTCAAGTTTGAATCTGGACTTTATTAAATCATTGGCAGAGAATTTTTCTAGTGACAATGTCAAATCAAAGGCTAGCCAGGGCCAGCTGGATTGCCCTGTTGGGGAATGGTCTCTTAACAGAGACTGCATGATAATGATAACTCATTGGTGTCCCTTTTCAGGAAAGCAGGAAAGAACATAACACCATTTGCAGCAACATGGATGTTCCTGGAGAATGTCATTCTAAGTGAAGTAAGCCAGAAAAAGAAAGAAAATACCATATGAGATCGCTCATATGCGGAATCTAAAAAAAGAAAAAAAGAAGAACATAAATACAAAACAGAAACAGACTCGTAGACATAGAATACAAACTTGTGGTTGCCAAGGGGACGGGAGGTGGGAAAGGACAGACTGGGAGTTCAAAATTTGTAGATACTGACAGGCATATATAGAAATAGATAAACAAGATTATACTGTATAGCACAGGGAAATATATACAAGATCTTGTGGTAGCTCACAGCAAAAAAAAAATGTGACAATGAATATACATATGTTCACGTATAAATGAAAAATTGTGCTCTATACTGGAATTTGACACAACATTGTAAAATGACTATAACTCAGAAAAAAGAAAGAAAGAAAGAGAGAAAGGAAGAAAGGAAGAAAAGTAAGCCAGTTGTGGGGGAAGGGTATAGTTCAAGTGGTAAAGCACATGCTTAGCACGCAAGAGGTCCCAGGTTCAACGCCCCATACCTCCTCCAAGCAGAAATCAATGAAGAAACAGAATCACCTCCCCGTCAGGAACCAGACAATGCAAGCAAGACTTGAGCTTTGGTTTCTTCTACAAATGCTTTCGGAATCAATGTCTTTGTCTTGACTCTATGCCGAGGAGTGGAACGCATGGGCCTGAGTGGGGGTTCAATGATGAGGTTTTGGAGAAACCTCCATACTGTTTTGCATAGCGGCTGCATTAATTTGCTCTCCCACCAACACTGTACGACGGTTCCCTTTTATTCACATGCTTGGCAGCATGTTTGTGTGTGTGTGTGTGTGTGTGTGTGTGTGTGTGTGTGTGTGTTTCCTTGGAAGAAAGGCCATTCTTATAGCTGGGAGATGGTATCTCACGGTGATTTGGATTTGCACTTCCCTGATGGGAGCGATGTGGAGCGATTTTTTGTGTTCCTGTGGGCCATCTGCATTTCCCCTTTTGGAGGGAGGTCTGTTCATTTCCTCTGCCCCCTTTTCAAAATGGGGAGTTTGTTGGTTTGCTCTTGAATTGAAAGACATTGGATTGAAAATGTTGTGTCACCTTCCGGTGCAGAGCATGAATGTTTTTAGAGGGCATTATGGTAAGCGAAAGAAGTCAGGCAGACAAAGACAAGTACTCTGAGATATCACTTCCATGTGGAATCTAAAAAAGGCAACCACCGCGTGACTATCCCAGAAAGGAAACAGACTCCCAGATGTAGAGAAGGAACTAATGGTTACCAGTGGGGAGAGGGAAGGGGGAGGGGCAGGGTGGAAGTGGGGGATGGAGAGGTACAAAGTGTGAGGTATACAGTCAGCTCCAAGGATATATATTGTATACCATAATAGATCCAATGGCAATAGATCCAACAGTTGATAATATCAATCAATGGAATATCACCTTTAAACACTGGGAATCACACTATGGTACACGTGTAGGATGTCATGTCTTACATGAAACTCTACCTCAATTGGAAACATATGATTCTGTAAAAGAAACATGTCAATACATCAATTCAAAATAGAAAAAAAAAAAGCCATAAACTACATAAGAGACCTGCAAAGGAACAGGGTGGGGGCTTGGGGATTAAAAATTTTTTCCATAAATTAGCAGATGACGATAATCAGGAATTCTTCATCTTTTCTCTTTGGGTAACATCTGTAGTGGGATCTTGTATTTGTGTAGAATAGAATACACAAAGATCTTAGGACCCAGAAAAATGTTTGCAGTCCTTAAAACACATAACCCCAATTCACAGATATAGCAGCTGTTCAAAGAAGTCAAGAGCTTTACACGACATAGTACAGTTATTGTAAAAATGGATTCCATTTCCATCACTGCACTTTCCTCTTTAGTTTGCATACATAAGTGTGTATGAAAACTGTACCTCTCTGTGCTGTAGATTCATGTCACTGCATCGTTTTGCTATTTAGGAGCTAACTAACAGACTTTACAATTACTTTAAGGAACTCTCACAAAAGTCATGCTTTCTATCTAGATGAGACAGTTTAAGGGGTGAATGTAAAAGGAGAAGCTAGGTGTTTTGAGAAGATAAGAAAACCGTCTGACACCTTGTTGTTAACTCTAGAAACAGAAACGAGACTGCTGCTTGCCTCCATTGTATTGTTCACAGGTTCTTCTCTGAATGCAGAAATGTCAAAGATGTTTTGAAAAAACCCAGAAAGCTGCTATGCAACCTACATGTGAAATTCTTTCTCCCTACCTTGAAGCCTGAGGATCTATAGCCCTGCTGCTTAAGAAACACACATGCTGTGTCCAAAGGAAGGAAAATATAACAGCAGACATCTGAATCAATCATCCATCTAGTTTTCCAGCTTGTCATGGCTCCTTAGACACCATTTGAGGAATTCTCACAAATGGAACTGATTTACCATAAAATGTGCCTATTTTCCATTAAATCTTGCCCGTTGCTTCACTGAGGCACTGAAGTTACCAACGTTTCATCTGTTGACCCTGCAGGGCCACCTCTTGGTCTTGTTATTTCAGAAAATGAACCACAGAGAGGCCTCGGAGGAAGAGGTTTTATTCGCATCAGTTATTTTGCACATTGCTTAAACTAGAGCTGTTAGCAGTTCCTGTAAGAGAGCAGCTGTAGTCAGACCCTTGGGGGAAACAGAGGGAAGTGGAACTTAGCCTGTCAAATGCTTGACAGAAGCATGTCAGCTGAGACAAGCATAGGGCAGGACAGAAGAAATCTGTTTTCAGAGCCCTAGTGAAATGGGTGAAGGCATCAGAGCCCTGTAAGTTCCAATTAAAATTCCAGAGCTGCTGCGTACCCATTGTATGATCTTCATGCAGTGACTTAACCTTCAAAATTCACTTTCTTCATATATAAAATGAGTATAATATGAGTAGCTCAAGGAGTCATTATGGGAGTTAAATAAAATAACACATATAAGGTGCTCCTCCCAGATGTGCTCA